GTAAAAATATATTTTCAAATATGGGTAACTGAAGATCTGCAGATAGATATATGGCTTAGTTTTGTGGATTTGTGGTCTCGATACTAACAAAAGAAGAAAATATCTTTAGAGTGGGCCGAACTTTTAATGCCCTCCATCATTAGGAAAATAAACCCTCAGAAGCAAGAAGTCTCTAATATAGCAAAGGAAATTGTTGTTTGTTCGAATTTATCAAAAGTGTACAGACAACTATCAAAATATCAAATATGGGGAAGTTCAGGGCCTCAATTCTCGTTCTATGAAAATGTGAAATGAAAACTATTAAAAAGGAATGAAATGTTAAATGAAAAATTTTATAAAGAAAATATTTTTCATTTCATGTTTTCATACAACCAGAATCCAGCACCAGGCATTAGTTCACTATTTCGGGATGTCAGGTGACAAAAGAGCGGGGATACCCCCAACACTATAATTTAAGTAAATTTTCTGTATATCTGATCCTCTTTAGATGGAAATGGAGGAACCCATCAAGATATTGGGAGACATAATTGGATCATTCTAAAAATATGGTTTGGTTCTAAAGCGGTTACAAATAATATGATATATTCCTGTTTAACGGCTATAGTTGTCATTATTACATTGCTCCGTTCGTACATGACCACAGCCAAAAGACAATCCAAAATTTCGTGACAGTTGCCATAAAGGGTGAGATATAAAATGAACTGCAACAAAGTCCAATGCCATAATTTTTAAATTTTTTTTAAAATTTATTGAATAAAAGCAAAAAATGTCAGAAATAGCATCAATTTTTAGAATAGGTTTAGATTTGTTCGAATTGGTCACCTTTGGCACGAATCATGGCTTTCAAACGGCTAATGAAACCGTCACACGCTGCCCGAATGTTGCTCTGATGTATTTTGGCCCATTCCCGGCGAAGTGCTTACTTGGAGTGATCGACACTTTGGTATTTTTTAGTGCCAACCTTGTTTCTAAAATACTCCAAATGCAATAGTCCAACGGATTGGTATCCGGAGATTTTGGTGACCATTTTGCGATGGAAATGAAGCAAAGAACCTCATTTTGTAAACATTCTTGGGTGGCGCGTGCTGAGTGCGATGATGCTGAGTCGTGTTGGAATGTCCAATGTCTGCGGCCAAAATGTTTGCGTGCCCAAGGCTTTAATACACCCTCCAGAATATTTTCGCAATAATATTCGGCAATTATTCTGATGCCACGGTCGATTAATACGAGCGGAGAGTGGCCATCGGCTGTTATGGCGGCCCACACAATTACCATGGCCGGCGCTTGAGTTCTTGTGGCCAACCAACATTTTCTGCTGACCTCTTTGGTAAGTAAACACAATCATTTTGTTTGTTTACAAATGGCTGGACAACGAATGCTTTCTCATCGGAGAAAACCAAATTCAGCAGTTCGCCACCTTCGGCCAAGCGTCTATTTCCTTTTTGTTGCAGTGTAAGTTCTTGCACTTTTTGGAATTTCAATGGTTTTACCCCGAGATCATTTTCCAATATTTGCCGAATGGAATATTGCGATATGTTCAGCTCACGAGCCATTTTTCGGCCACTGCGACGCGGGTTTCGATCAAGTCGCTTCTTTACTTTTCGAACCATTTCTGCTGATGTTGCTGTTTCCTTCCGTCCACTTCCTTGAGTCGGGCTACGCTACCAGTATCACGGTAACGAGCGATGATACGAGACACAAAAGATTAATTCACATTAAAATGTTGATGCTAAAATCCAGCCAAATATAAAGAAATCACGCTTGAATTCTATCCCGAATAACTTTTAACTCTGGAAAATTCGCTCCAAAAAGCTATTGTGCGCGTGTAAACAATATAATGAGCTGTCACTGAAATAATTTTAACAGCTGTCGGACGAGTGACTTAGAAATGACAGCAGTCTGAAGTCGGTTGCAGTTTTTTCATCTCAGCCTGTATATTTACGCTCCTATCGTGCTTATGGTAATTCGATACAAAATTTGAAAATTTTGATTCATGTGTATGTTTTGCTTCACCTCCGAGTATATAAAATCAGTTCCAATATAAAGATCAGGTGCCACTTTTATGTAATTTTTATAGCTTTCAGTTTATGTATTATAATATAGCTTTCAGTATAATATATATTCGAAAAATTATGGTCCATTCCACCCGCTAATCCGCTCGGCCGGATAGAAAGATCGATATTTAATATAGTCTGTTTAGAACCAATAGACAAATGTATACCCTCAGCCAATGTCCGTTTATTTAAATATATTCAGACTTGCGTTGTGATTATTTACCTCTTATTAGTGAGGTTTTGAAAAAGTCTGCTTATATCTTCCATTTTCCCATTATGTTGATAGAATTATTGGGATAGGTGAAGCTTTAAAAAACGGATGCTTATTTCGCATATCATGAAAGTTTTAGTTGTGTAAAATGTTTGTGAGGGAGGTACCAATAGGAGTGGATGGATATATCCTATCACTACACTGCATCTAGAGTTGGTAGAAATATTGAAATGTGCTAAGTGTGAAAAGAGGCACATGCTCTTTAAACCCTACACCACATTGTGGCCAGGTTATTATGTATTTATGCATTTGTTTGTAAAACGGAGAAGGAAACGAGATAGACCCATAGCTATTTCTGAGGATCTTCATAGAATCACATTCTGAGTCGGTTTATGGATGTTCATCATCCACAAAATGCAGGTAGCATTTTTTGTGCGGTTAAGATGAAATTTTCCAGGCATCATTTGTTTGGCCCAAAGACGAATCTTATTGAAATTGGTGATAATCGGTCGAAATTAAGATATAGCTCCCATATTTATCCTCGTCAGATTTCAATTTTATTGTGCACCAGCTCAGAAATGCCTCTTCAAAATTGTATCGAGATCGGTTCAGATTTGTATATAGTTTCCATATTTATCTTCATCTGATTTCACTGTTGTTGTTCACCATATATGTAATTTCAGCCCAAATTGGATAGATTTCTTCACATTTTCACATTTTTTTTTCATTTAGTGGAACTGTTCTCCGATATATACAGTTTTTAATAAAATCTCTCTCGAAGTCATATCTATAGCAATGTTTTTGTTGCGAGAGGAAAAAATACCCGATTCCGAATATTAGTTCGCTATGAAAGCAAATTGTAACTGCTCTGAAGCCATGATAAACATTCAAATAAAGTTCGTAGTTGGTATGACCTATTTCACATAAATTCCCAATACAATCTTTTTTTACGGGAGCTCTACTAAATATTCATAGTGGTGTAGAGTATCATATAATCGGCCCCGTCCGACTTTTTTCCTTACTGGTTTTCCATTGCGGGTGCGAAAATGGACAATATCGGAAGACTCATTCTGGTACTTCACTCAAAGAAAGTTTTGAATAACCATGACAAAACCTTCTTTGAGTGAAGTACCAGAAGGAGTCTTCCGATATGGTCCAAATTCGCACCCGGCTGCACTCTTAAAAATATTAGGTCTTGGACAGTTGGAAAGAAAATCTGTAATTTTTTTCTCTTGTGAGGTAAAGTATTTTCCTTGGAAATGTTTATCTTTTGTGTTGGAGGTAACAGAAGGACTTGACCGATATTGCTCATCTTCAAACTTTATACAAGTTGGATAATAATATTACGATGTACCAAGTTTGGACGAAATCAGAAACTCCCTTCGATAGACGGAGACCTCTAGAATGTCCTGAAATGGATTTGGTCCAAGGAGACCTAGGATGAGGTACGTATGCAAATCAGGGCTGCAAATCACTAATCGATTTGGGTTGGTTCAGTCCTGTGGTTCACACAACCTTTGAACCAGATTTCGGTTTTTTTATATTGAAATACAGTTTTTGTCCTGTTCAACAGTTAATTTATACAATGGTTTGGTTCACGGTTCGGCTGATTTACAGAAATAGCGATTCGGTTCAAAACCCGGTTCAGACAATTTTCTCTCATTGTGTTGGTAGTCAATTGAAAACGCGGACCTGTATAGATAATTTTCTGACTGATTGGTATAGATTAGGTGCCCCAAATACCATATTCCAGACAGTTTCATTCCAAAGTCTGTCTAAAATCTCCAAAACTCTGAATATTTAGGGCACTATTAAGCGGGAACTACACGACTGTAAGATAATGTAAAACGATATAGCCCATCTTCGACCTTGACTTATCTGTGAGAAATCATAGATATTACGGCTTATCAAGAATATTTACTTTGTTGAATAGTTCGACAGATTACAAGTAGATTGACAAATTTAATATGCCCTTCGTATTATGGTGGAGGGTACAAATATCGGTGAAATACTTTCCCAATTATATATATATCGAAAATTTAAAGGCCTTTCCACATTTGCTAAAGAACCCCCAGTTCGGGCGATGTCCCAACTTTGCCGCCTTTTAAATTCATCAGAGATCCCCCATGTGAGTTTTTGTTGTTGTTGCATGAAATCAACCCTCTCTTGTCTTTTTGTTGTTGTTTTTTTTTCAATTTTGTATTTTTTTTCTTCTTTGTCTTCTTCTGGCCAAATGTCTTCCACCATCACAGAGGAATGTAAGAATGCCTTCCTTTTGCGGCTAATTTAATGGGAAATAAGTTTCAAAGTTGTTGTTGCTGTTGCTGTTGATTTTAGCAACAACCATTTTAAAATGGAGGAATGAATGTTTGTTCGAAGCGAACTATGTGTGCGTGTGCTTGTGTGTATGTACGCTTCTGTGTGAATATGTTCAGTTGTAGAAATATTTATTATTTCATGTGAATTTGTATTACGGGCGGATCCCAGCCAAAGATTTCTTTGTTTCCTCTGTGTGTGTTGTTTTTTTCGTTTTCGTTTCTTTTGGGTGATCATCATTACAGAGATCATTATAATGATGATCTTTATGTAGCTGCTTCTTTTTTATGAGATGTTTTTTTTTTTTAATTTTTTATGACTTGATGTTTTTGTTTGGTAGAAACCTATATTTGTTTTTTATTGTTGTTCCGTTTTTTTTTCTTCTTTTCAAAATGGCGTTTGAGAAATAAAAGGCAAAGTTTTCTTTTTTTTTTTTTTTTTGTAGGATTTTAACAATTCAGTTTCTTTTGTGTTTATTTGTTGGATTTTTTTCATCTTCCTTTTGAGTTCATAAAAAAGTTTAAACTAACAATATAGGGGTCTAGAAAATATGTACCTATACGTTTCACATGGTAAAACTTTGGCCATTGTAAACCCTGTAACAACCTCAACTTGCTTAAGTGGTAATAACACATAGAGCAGCCTATATTTCTTTCTTTCTTTTTTGTTGTTGTTGTTTTTACTATAAACATAAATAGATATATATAAAAAATAAAAATTTGCTTATTAACTATAAATACTAGGAATTACATGGTAATTTTTGCTTAAACATAATCTTAAGCCTAATGAGTTTTCATGAGAAGGGGGAGCGGGGAGATGTCTATGTACATCATGGTAGAACGATTTTTTGTTTTTGTTACTTAGAAAGGGATCAGAGGGAAGATAGAGAGTGTTTTTTTATTAATACTAAATGGAAATGATAACAAGTGTTGCACTGTGCACCACACAATAGTTGCTTAACGCGCTGGAAGGCTTGGAAGGATCAAATTTGTGTTATTGCTGCTGCATTATGGAAATTATGATTTACTATTCTGGGCATCGCCCTCCATTCGCCAAACCCCAAAGAGATAGCTCAATTTCTCTGGCGGTATCATGGGAGCCACTGCTGCCCGTCGTAGATTTTTAAGATCTGCCTCGGCATCATTGAGTATGGATGCAGCACCCATGGCATAGCCACCATTACCGGCATTATTATCCAAGGCCTTGAGCAAGCCAATTTCACTTGTGGACAGCACGCGACACAGGAAGTCAATGTATCTGTAAATGGGAAAGAAGAAAGGAAATGGAAATTAGTATTAAGCTTCGCTTGCATGTCAGGTAGCAAAGAAATCTGCTAATCAATGGCATGGTAAAATTTCAAATTTGAAGCCGGAAAATTCTCTGGTGTTTTATAAAACCCACAAAAATGCCAAAGCCCAGGTAGCTAAGCTGCGTAATTTTTGCGGGTTTTTATTGACTGGCCAAAGCGGAAATGCCCTGGCCAAAAGAAATTCCCATGGAATTTTCTTTCTCTTCGGATTGGAGCAAATCCAATTGCCACATAATCACAGAGAGAGTAAGAGAGACGAAGAGTGCAAGAGAAACTATGTGCTTACCTTGTTGCCAATTTAAGTGTCTGGATTTTGCTGAGCTTATCACTGGGTAATGTGGGTATGATCTGTTGCAGGGATTTGAAGGCATCGTTTAAGCTCTGGGTTCTCTGGCGTTCCCGCACATTGGCCATTATGCGCTGCGTATGGAAATCTTCGGTGTCTTCCGATTTACTGGCCTTACGTTTGGTGCGACGTCTGGGCTTGCGAAACTCCTTGGAGCCATCATTGGTATCACAACCACCGCCGGCACTGAGTTCATCTTCATTGGGAAACATATAGCTGCTGGACGAGGCCATTTCATCCCGATCTGAACTGGAATAGGTACTGCCATTTAAGGAACCCGCCTGCTCGAATTGTTCATAACCACCTGTGACCTGATGCCCGCCACTGGAATGTATGGCATTTGGAGGAATATTGCTGGCGCCGTTTGTTTGTAGTAACATGCCATTCACTCTTTGTGTCTGCTGCTGTTGCAGCTGATCCTGTTGATGCATTTGTTGTTGTTGCCGGAAAATATGCTTAAAATTATCTTGGCTATTCTCGGCCATTTCTTCGTCGGTAAACTCAAAATGTGGCGATCCACTGCAATTTTGTGTCTCCATTTGGGCGCCATTCGCCCCTGATGAGGGATTACCATTTCCGTTCAACGTTGAATTCACTTCATTAACTGTGGTCGGTAGGTATTCAACAAAAAATTTCTGTTCATTATGTTGAACATAATGACCGGTGATATTATGTTGCTGCTGCTGCTGGGCGGGATGACCCAAGGGGCTAATGTGTAACTTTTTGTTATCCTGCAAAATGTCGTTGGGGCCACAATCAAACTCCCGGCTGCGTTTACCATTTTCATTTAACTGATATTGTTGTTGATGTGGGGCAGAGTCCGGATGGCCATAGCTGTGATTGTTGTTCATTTCTGGGGAACCTAAATTATGGCTATTCGGGGTGGAACTGGCACTGTGGCTGCTGGTGGTACTCAAAATTTCACTGCTTGGAATATTGTAATCATTATCTTCATGATCTGGCGCACCAGTTGGACCACCATAGCACATAAATTCATTGGCATGATGCTGACGGCCCCCGCCGCCACCATTTAGTATCATGTGTGGCAATTGGCCCGCTGTGGGCTGTTGGCCATACATCTGTTGGGGATCCATATTTTGTGACAAATTCTGATTATGCATATAGGCCTGCTGGTCCACGGATATCAATTTGATGACATTGTGTTGTAGATCCATTATATTTGGCAATGGTTTATAGCTTATGTCCAATAGAACTTTTGGGGAAACGGGTCGCACGGACATGGTTTTTTGCAAAATTCGCACACACGCAAGTTATCAATACAACGGTTTGTTTATATTTCCAACACGTGTTCTTTTCGAATTCAATGTCTCTCACTCGTCACAACCAAAAATTGTATTTATGTTTTGCAATCCAATTAATTAATTGTTTCAATATGTTTTAAATTCTTCTTCTTTTTGGACGTATTTCAATAGGAACGCTCATAAAATGTTATCCGATCGTATGAAAGACTCAAACTCAACTGATGTTAAAATCCTTGCCGTACTACGCAAAGTAGGAAGCAAACAAATGCTGTCATTCGTCTACAACAGATCACAGAGGCTGTCTCTGTCACACAAACCAAGGGCAGTGTTTTCCATAGCCAAAGAAAGAGAGAGGAACACACACATACATATGTGTGCGTTTACGTTTATGCTACACCCTCTCCCAATGACATCATAGCCACACCAATACCATTATGGTTCTCTTCAATATGTGTGAATGGCTCTCTTTTGTTTACATCAAGCACGCACACAAACAAAAACTCACACAAATAGCCATGGTGGCGAATCATAATGGCGTGCCAGTGGTGTTGTTGTTTCGTCTTCGCTACAGGTAGCCAATTTCTGTTAGTCTTCAGCCGATCTTCATTGTTTGCAGATGATTTTTAATTGCAATTAAAAAGTGTATGTCTGTCCGCCGTCTGACTGGCAATTAAATTATCCTTTTGGATTGGAATTTTGTGGATTTTCCTTAAACTTATTTTCCCACGGATTTTTTGTCAAACCTTTGGAGGAAATTTCAATGTTTTGGAAAATGTTTGATGTTGTGTGAATAAAATTCAGTCAAGGAAAACATTTAAGCAAAATTTATCGAGCGTTTAAAGCAGCTAAAAATGAAGGGTCCACAAGTTGAAGTTTTCGAAGTTTTCTGATGGATGTTTGCTTAAAATGTATGACAAAGTACCGAAGCTGAGAAAATCGAACAAACTCCAATAAAATAAATCGAATATTTGAAACCAAATGGACACATCTTTCCACTCTATGGAAAGAGTGTTGGATGGAACAATTTAACGTCCAAAAATATAGATTCTAGACTCAACATATAGTTTACTGATCAACATATATGGAGCAGCTGAGTTGGTCTGGATCCGTATCCGTCTATGCGGATCAACTAACACGTCATGGGTGCAAGTTTAGTGCCAATGTTTGACATTTTCGATGGTTATGTGAAAAATACCGAAATTTCCATTAATAGTTGAAAGCGTTTCCTGCGAATTTCGTTTACATATATAATCAGATGTCGGATATGTAACCAAATGTAAAAAGGAGTCTGAATTTTCAAATATTGTTTTTCTAAATTATTTTTGATCGGGACAAGAACATTTGTAACAACTCGAAATATTGGCCATACACCCAAGATCTTCCTATCTCGATCTATCTGAGTCCATGCTAGTTGGAAATTACGCTACAGGTCGAAATGATGGCTCGTTCCTCGATTATACATGGTGTTAGAGTCAGAATAGAAGCCTATCTTTACATGGGGCTAGAGTTTAGCGCAGGGCAAAAGTCTACCATTTTGGGTAGTCATCGGATAATATTTAGCATGTCAAATGGGCCATTACTTTTTTGTTAAAAAATAACCAAATTTCGATTCTACCGCGAATAATTTTAATGCTGAACGTAATTTACTGACGAAATAAATAATACTTGAAAACGCTTCTACCATTAACATTTATGCTGATTTAAAATAAACAAGTAAAAATCAGATGAGTTTGGACGGAACGAACTTTCATTACCCTCCATCATTTTGAAGGCAATTCAAAAAATTCCGTTGAAAAATACCGATCAAAGGAAACCAGTTATATGGGGGCTATACGAAGACGTCATATGCTGTAGTAACAAAATTTGAAACGATTCCGGTAAAAACTGTCATCGCAGACAATTCTCCTCAAGAGGGTAAAATACTCAGGAGAATTTCCTGTGTGGATTTTCAAACAATTCCGCTGAATATCGAGGGTACCGTTGTATGGGGAATAAAAATAGGCTGTAGTACCCATTACGAGCTTCAAATAAAACAAGTAAAAAAACAGGTAAGTTCGGCCTGGCCGAACTTTTAATACACCATTTTGAAGGAAGTTGACAAATTTCTAAAAAAGAAATCCGAAAATATTGTTCAAGGGAAAACCGTTATACAAAGGATTTACGAAAGTATTTGTATGTCATAAAATATAGTACCCATTACGAAATTTAAATAAATTTGAAACAATTCCCGTAAAATATTTTGGTAATAACATCAAAATGCCGAATAAAGGGAGATGCCGTTATATGTGGACTAAATGAAGACGAGGACCTACATAGGCAATTTTCGTCATAGGCTGTAGTATCCATTACGAACTTCAAATACGAAATTTGAAACCATTCTGGTAAATAATGTCCCTAAAATCATCAAAATGCAGAATATCGGAGGGTACCGTGTATGGGTACGATACGACAACGTGGACCTATACAGACAATCCTCTTCCAGAGGGTTCAACACACAGAGGAACTCCTTGCATGGGTTTTCACACAATTCCATTGAAAATTTTGGCAACAATTATCAAAGTACAGAACATCTGGAGGTTCCGTTATATGGGAGATATACGATATCGTGGATCGATGTAGCCCATCTTCGAACCTGACTTGTCTGCAGGCCAAAGACTGTTCTGTGCAAAATTTAGGCTTTCTATCTTAATTAGGTTTGACTCTAACGTGGTTTTAGAATTTATCGCCGATCAAAAATATACACACTTTGTTGGGACGAAAATTTTTATTTCGATGAGTTACAAACGGAATGACGAACTTAACATACCTTCAATACAATGTATGGTGGGGGGTAAACTAAAACTAAATTTTTCTTTTTCAACGGCAGAGAGCGTAAATACAGCAAAAATTGATACGAATTTTTGCATGGATTCCTTAACTGGCAAGGTAGTATCCTAAACGATCGCTTCGATTTTTAAGCACTATTGATTGTGTGCAGCTGCATTTCACCAATAACTTCACGAATATTGACGGCACCCCAAATCCCAGCTCCGAGGTGCCCAAAAGCAGAGCCCAAAACATGAAGTGTAGTTACGATCATGCAACACATAGTGTTATATTAAAACAAAATGTTGCCAATAGCCTCCTCTTAAATTTGTGTAAAGAAATATTCATTGAACATGGCCCGATAAACCAACGGCCACTCATTTTGAAAGTCCATATAAACCTCGAATCGTTAAAATCGCATTATGCGAATACGATTTTCCAATACAGCGAATCTATCAATTTCAAACATTATGCGTTTTGTGAAACTCAATTTGGCAACGACGACGTAGCATCGGTTGCAAAAAACGCTGAAAGGTCCATAAATCAATATGATCCTACAGGAAACGTAGTAGAATCATGCCCAATTTTTTTCTGAAAATATTAAAAAAAATATATCCAAAACAATGTATAGCACGCGGCTTATGCACATAATGCTTTAGATATATTTTAAATTTCAAGGGTTCAATATCCCCTGATCAAATTGATTGAATTGAATTTACCTTGGGTTTCACGACAATGGTATAGGTGTTGTAAATTTTTAAACCAAAAACGGGTTTTTTAGAAAAATGTACACTCCAAAATATTAGCTTTATGAGAAGATTTCTCTGAACATCTGAAAGTTACACTCTTGAGATTTTAGCACACACAGCAGAGTTCAGTCAAGAAGTATGTCTGCCAATTTTATTGAATATTGATTCAGATATAGATATTGCTCTCATATATATTTTCGTCCTATTGCAATTTTATGGTACGTCATATTGGTACAATTGTAGTGTAGGTGTAGGCTATCATAAAGTCGGCCCCTTCCGATGTTGACCTTTCCTTACTGTTTTTATACCCTCCACCATACACAGTATGGAGGGTATATTAAGTTCGTCATTCCGTTTGTAACTCATCGAAATTATCATTTTAGACCCAACAAAGTATATATATTCTTGATCAGCCTAAAATTCTAAGACGATTCGGTCCACGATAACGTATTTCCCCCATATAACGGTAGCCCCCGATATTCGGTATTTTGATGATCTCAGCCACATTTTTCAATGGAATTGTCTGAAATTCCACACAAGGAGTTCCTTGTAAGGACTTTATCTCTTGAAAGAGAATTATCTATATAAGTCTACAATGTCGTATATCCCCCATATAACGGTAACCACCGATATTCGGGATTTTGATGATTTTAGCCACATGTCTGAAATCCACACAATTAGTTCCTTGTAAGTACTTTAATCCTAATCCTATCATATAGCTCCCTAAAAATTTGGTATTTTGATGATTTTGGCGGCATTATTTACCGGGATTGTTTGAAATTTGGCATTTGAAGTTCGTAATGGATACTACAGCGTATGACAGAAAATTGTCTGAGCAGGTCCACGTCTTCGTTTAGCTCCCATATAACGGAACACCCGATATCCGATTAGCGTCTAAAATGTATATTTCGAGGTGTTACAAACGGAATGACAAACTTAGTATACTCTCCATACTATGGTGGAAAGTATAATAAAACAATTTATGTTGGGTTAATCCATACGCTGGGTTCTCGAACAAGAATGGGCCAAAGTTTATTTTTTCAAAGCGTTTTGGTTGATAACAAGATTGAAATAAATTTCAGAGATTTTTTGTAGGATATTAAAAAAAAAAAAACAAGTAAAACAGCTGTAAGTTCGGCCGGGCCGAACTTTGAATACCCTCCACCATTTGGAACGAATTAGAAAATTTTCAAAAAAATAAAATCCAATAAAAATTCTTTTAAAATCTTTAAAATATCTAATATAGGAAGGTGCCGATATATGGGGGGATATACGATATTGTGGACCTATAAAGACAAATCTGTGTCTGCGTGTAAAGTACTCACAAGGAACTTCGTGTGTGGATTTTCAAACAATACGATTGGAAAATGTGACTAAAATCATCAAAATACCGAATATCGCGGGGTACCGTTATATGGGAGCTATACGTTATCGTTAACCTATATAGAGAATTCTCTTTCGGTGGGTAAAGTGCTCATAAAGAACCCCTTGTGTACAAAGAACCCCTTGTGACCATTCCGTTGAAACATATGGCTAAAAACATCAAAATACCGAATATCGGGGGGGCTATACAATATCGTGGATCTATATAGATTATTCTCTGCCGAGGTATAAAGTACCCACAAGGAACTCCTTGTGTGGATTTTCAGACAATTCCGAAGAAAAATGTGGGTCAAATCATATAATAC